GATTGACTTCGATGTCCCATTGAAGAAGCAGGATTTCCAACATTCCAATCTAAAAGGTTAGTATCACAACTGCACAATAGATGCCAGCTGTGAATCTAAAGTGGCGGTTAGACGTCATGTTTCTAGTTTTGAGTAGTGCGGTGCTGTTGGGTACATTGTAATTAATGGGAATGCTAGTTAAAAGGGAGAAAATAAGAAGAGTCTTTAAAAGCCATTGGCTAAACATAAATTTGATAAATCCAGATCATTGGGTAATAGACTACTAAAACAACATTAGTATGGATAGTATCTATTATGGCGTAAGTCATAATTACTACGATTGGTATTCATATAATTGTAGGTTTGATTGTAGGCTCGCAAGACTCTTTGGGTGCTCGGGGCCCCACGAGACTTGGCTTGAACCAGGTTTCATACGATTCCTCTGAGGGTGCGCTGGGCCCCTAGAGTTGGAAGTATTCGGAGAAACAACTCGAGGTGATAAGCTGGATAATGGTAGCACCTTTTCCATGATTGCATTTTTTAAAGTACTAACAGAACGCATCAAATGTACTTCATGAAAGAAGATTGACTGATAGTCGTTTATGCTGACAATTTTATCGTATATAGGAACAATTTGATACTTTTTTTTTCTTAAATTTATGAGCAATAAGGCTGTTGAATTCAGTTATACGTTTACCACTTACAGAATCGGGTCCCGATTTCACAGGCGGGACTTGGCATATATTGATTATTGCAGGTGAAAACTTTGTCTCAATTTCACTAATAGTGGCGCAAAAAGTTTCAAATATATCATCTACAGGTTTGTGTAGTTCCCTTGTGAGGGAATTGGTGCCGTCCTGGAAGGTTACTCTGATTTCAGCTCAGTATCGTTGAGATAAGGAATAATCTCAATTTATTGATTTCTATTTTTTTGCAATGAAGTTTTTTATTTTAAGCCTGCAATTTCTCTAACAAACTTCATTCAGGCTTCTCAATTTTCAAGTTCAAGACACATAATGATTTGATTTTTGGAGCTTTGTGTATCGCAAGTGGTGCGAAGCTCAACTTCGCCCCTGTGATGAAAATTGTAGAACAAGTTGATCCAGCATTAGCTGGACCACTGGTTAAACTCTAAGCAGCCAAGGCGCAGATCGAGGACGTGAGACTCTTAATCAACAAGTCGGATATTCGAATCAGGAACATTTGAATAGTTTTTTGGTCAAGTTTTTGCTGCAAAACAATGGCATTTTGGTAGACACTGTAGCTGCTTTCTTCATTGCTAGTGTAGGTAAAATTACAAGCAGTCGTAGAGCAGATATGAGAACGTGATATTCCTTATCTCAACAAATTTTTTTCAAGGTGTATTTTTAACCTTTTCTTCATTTCACTTCTTGAATTTTTCTCGCTTGTGTTTGCAAAGTGCAGCTTCGCCTCTGTGTTTTAATTCATTTTCCTTTTCAGTTTTGGCTTAATTCGCAACGGTAACGTCTATGCATAAGACAACAGAGGTTCTGAGTTCGAATCCTGCCAAGGCCTGGGTCTTTTTGCAAACTAAAAAATTTAATCTTTAGGAAAAAAGTTTCGGCCTATCGTTGGTCTGCTTATTTTTTATCGTCGGCTAAGTTGCCACAGCGCGAACTTTTCTTGTGGCTCAAGCGTTTTTCAGTAATTAATTGTCACTTTTGTTTAAAGCTGGTAAAGCTTTCGATCATTGTGATGGGAAATCAAGTTCAGTTTAAGGAAAATATGTCGGGAAAACTTTTCTCCAGAATTTAAAAAAGCATTCAGAAAACTACTCGAGGCTTATTAAAGCTTTGTTATCTTAAATTTTTATTAAATTTTTATCTCAAGAATAGTGTGTTACCTATCTCGCCAAATCGCCTCTGATATTTCACAACAAGTCTAGTTAATGACGGTTTCCTTTTAGGTTTTAAAAAAAACTAGTCGCAAATCAACTGCTAGTCTACATATATCAGCATTCGCTTAGCTGACATGGCTTTGGTAACTTTATTCTTATACGATAGATTGAAGACGGTACTGTGAGACTGTGAGTGATTTACTTGAAATATTTGTTTAAGAACTGTTACATGTAATAGTCAAACAATTGAATAGATAAGAGGAAATGTACAAAAATTTATTCGAATATTAATAGAGGACCCACAAGTGAGCGGTAGACTCCCCCCCCCTATTCTTGCTACTTGGATCGTTCGTACCACTGAAACAAGATCTGCTACGCCACTGCTTTTTTGTTCTCGAGGGAGTTTTTTTATACTAAGATCAAGGTTTTTCCCGAAAGGGGAGTTTCGAAATTATTTTTTGATCATACCCATCTTCAAAGGGAAAGGGAAGGCCAAGGAGAAACCCAGCAGCTACCGACCAGTCGCACTCACCAGCTGCACCGCGAAGCTGGCGGAACGTCTCGTCGCCACCCGCCTCGTCTACCACCTGGAGTTGAAGAAGAAACTGGCCCCTTGCCAAGCTGGCTTTCGTAGAGACAGAAGCACCGAAGAACAGCTAGCGAGAGTCACCCAAGATATCTTCGACGGCCTAGAGGCCAAGGAACCTCGCCGTGCCGCCCTCGTCTTGCTAGACTTCAGCCGTGCCTACGACAAGACGTGGAAGGCAGCCCTCTACGTGAAGCTGAAAGACCTAGAGGTGCCGACGTGCATGATCCGCTGGATCAAAGGCTTCCTAGCCGACAGACGAGCTAGGGTGCGTTGGAATGACACCCTCAGCAAGGAGCGTGTCTTCAGGGAGGGACTACCACAAGGGTCCGTTCTGGCACCAGCGCTGTGGCTTTGTTATTGCAACGACATCTGGCAGACAGTCCATGACAGAGCCCCGGACTGTGGCCTCAGCCTCTTTGCCGATGACACTGCACTGGTTGCCTCCGACCGAGAGCTTAAGAAATGCGCCACCAAGCTTCAACCGGCCCTGGACGCGGTCACGGAGTGGTGCTCCCGCTGGAAAGTCCAGCTTGCACAGTACGAAGACGCGGCCGAAAGCAAGTGCTGCTACACTGTGCACGCTAGATCCAGCGGAGAACAACAATAAGACCAAGCTCTCTCTCACCCTCGCCGATCACCCAGTGAAGTTCGAGAAAACCCCTACCTTCCTGGGGCTGAAACTGGACTGCCAGCTGACATTTGCCGCACACGCTGAAGATGTCAAGAAACGGATGGCAAAGAGACGCAACGGCCTTGCTGCCATAGCTAGACGGTCTGTCGGGACCTCCCAACACAACCTCAGAGCAGCCTATATCGCCACCACCCTCGCGGTCGCGGACTACTCTTCTGCAGTCTGGATGAACCATGCCCAGCCATCGACCCGTAAGGCCGTAGAGGCTGCTCAAAACAAGTGTGCGAGAGTAATAACAGGATGCCTCGGACTCACCAACGAGAAAGCCCTCCTCGCCTGCGCCGACCTCCCGCCTCTCCGCCATGTCGCTCAAGAGAGGGCTTCGGTGCTCCGCGAGCGCCTACTCCTCATCCACGACGACGTCCCAGCGCACAAGACTGCCAAAGCCTGGGTACAACCAAGACTAAAAAGCCGGACCCATGAATCCTGGAAGAGGAACAACGACCACGAGCCAGATGACACCGACACCCTCAGGACACACCGAGGCTGCTGGAGGAGAATCGCGACAGAGATGGACTGTATCGTCGAGCTGGACAGCTTCCCCCGCTAACAGATTAGTTGCCAAATTGCTCCTTGGACACTGTACCAACCGGAGACCTTCTTCCGCCTTGACTTGGCAGACAGAGACATCAAGAAGGAGAAGTGCGACTCCCAAGTCTCCATCACCAATGACCTACTGGATTACCTTACCAAGGATGACATAGAGATCTGGACAGACGGATCGGTGCAGGAAGGTAACCAAAATGGAGGAGGAGCAGCTATTATCACCACCAAGCTTACGAGTACGACCCTAAAGTCTGCAGCCGGTGCTGTGGCGTCCTCCTATGAAGCAGAGATGGAGGCCATCAAAATAGCCCTGGAGTATGTGAGTACCCTCGGCCAGGAACACGGCACCAGCGTCAGAATCATGACTGATTCCCTCTCCTCGCTCAGCGAACTAGCGACAGGCCCAGAGGGTCAAGACACCAACTGCGGCATCACCATATGGAAGGCGGTTGAGAAGATTGGGCGTTGCACTTTCGTCTGGGTCCCCGCACACTGCGGACTCGAAGGGAACGAGTGCGCAGACGTAGCAGCCGGAGAGGCAACTCACCTCGCCCAGGATATACGCCCACTGACACTCAACACGGCCAAAGCCGTCATCAAGAAAGAGCGAAGACTAAAGGACAAGAGGTACCTCCAAAACTGGGCAACTACCATGAAAAACCGCCCGAAGAAGTTCCTCAACAGATGGGAAGAGGTCACGTGGAACCAACTACGAACGGGCCACTCCTCACTATCCAGAGCTGACCTGGCCAGATTTGGGGCCATCGAAGACCCCGGCTGCCTGGACTGTGGAGAGCCAGACACCGTAAACCATATACTCAGCTGCCAACGAGGCGCCCACATACGACACGAACTGACCGGACGAGATGACGACATGGAAAGCCTATTCAACAACCCCGGATACCTGTTCACATACCTCAGAAGGATGGGACGTGCCCATATCAGTGCGGAGCACTGACCAGGGCCTCCTGAAGCAAGAAGAAGAAGAAATTATTTTTTGGCCAACAATTGATTTTCCGAGCTATCCCAAAACATTGAAAAGACCCTATTTGTGAAACGTTTTGAAGCAGGCGATTAAAAAAAACGTTTTACGGCGCTATATTGAAGTTTTCATCTGAAACCGTATTTTTGGCGCTCTAAAATTGCGTGTAGAGGGTTACCAGCGGCGCGTCGAATTCTTGAAAAAAAGCGCGAATATCCGCCCGACTCTCCTCTCACCTATTCCGCCCCTAGCATAGTACTGCTTCTTCTCTGCCTAAGGGTCATACCATAAATGCCACATACTGCATCTTTTAAAATGTATACAGCTAACCATAAAGGTCTTTGCTCTTTTGTAGGTTCGGGAACCAGATGTTCGGTCCAATCTGGAACAACCAGTCGATCAAGGCAGTGAAGTTGACGTTCAAGGAGGCGATAGGGACCAAAGGGAGAGGGGGCTACTTCGACCCCAGTGGCATCATCAGAGACGTCATGCAGAACCACATGGTACAACTGCTCTGTCTAGTCGCAATGGAGAAGCCCCCGTCGCTAGAGGCAGACGATATACGCGCAGAGAAGGTAATTTTTAAGAGTTGCAAAATGTCCAGCGGAGCTTAAAATTTCGGAATTCAATAAAAGAGTAAATGACGTGATTCAGAAAACGTCATTTCAAGATCGCCGGAAATTTTAAAATTGCGTGAAACATTTGTTCAAAAGTAACAGATTGCTTTTTATAGTTAACATAAATACTATTCTCTGTTCAAAATTTTTGGAACTTGTAAATACTTCAAGCAAAATATGATTCATAAATGCCAATGTCCGCTATTTTATACCCAGTGTCCGTGATTTTATCCAACCCAGTGTTCGCTATTTTATAGGTAAAAGTTCTCAAACGAATTCAGCCCGTGAAAATGGAAGACGTAGTGTTGGGACAGTACGTAGGAGACAAGTCTAAACCCGAGGATAGCGAGGCCTACCAGGGGTACTTGGACGACCCAACTGTACCCAAAAGTTCGACAACGCCCACTTTCGCCACAGCTGTGCTGCACGTGAACAATGACAGGTGGGAGGGAGTTCCATTCATCATCAAAGCGGGCAAAGGTCTGAATGAACGAAAAGCAGAGGTGAGTGGGCACTAATTGTTCTCGCTTCTATTTTCTTTTTCTCAATTCTCAATTTTAATCGTCTTCAATCGGTTTAGTTAATAGAGAGTACGCAGCAGATCTGTGAATATCATTCTTTGACTTTTTGAAATTGCCCTTATTTTTACGCGTTATACGAGTTGGTTCACGACTTTGTGGAATCCAATTTATTTGTCGATGAATCCAAAACAGCAAAAAGATCAAAGAAAACAGCCCTTTTGCGGATTCAGCCACAAATCTGTTTTCAGCTTGTTGTGGAATCCGCTTGCAATTCAGAAAATACTCAGTTTGGTCTCGTAATAGGTAGCGCACCTGGTATTATTTCTGTCAAATATTTGTGTCATTAAGTTTTGCTGCATGCTGCGAATGAATTTAGATCAGACTGCAGTTCAAAGATGCTCAGGGAGACATTTTCTCGCAGAAGTGTCAGAGGAACGAACTCGTGTTCAGAGTGCAGCCCAATGAGGCAGTCTACGCTAAACTCATGACCAAAATACCAGGCATGTTTTAAACAACTTATGTACTTTTATCTCATGGGCTCATGTTTAATAACTTTAATGGAACTCTCGCAGATGGGTGCAACACGTTTTGATATTTTATTGCTGTTTTTACGAGTCGATGAACATAGTTCAGACTGTTATATTGGTCGCAATAATTTTTGTTTGGTTTTTTCAGGGAAAGTCAAAAAGTTTATTGAGGCTTACATTTACTCTTTTGCTGTTTGGCTTTTGATCTCTTTGTAGTAGTTAGAACATAGTTGAAAGATGCCCGAGTGAAAAAGAGCCCTGCCTGAAGGCACGAAGTGCCCGAGTGCGGATCTTTTGCCCGAGGCCATCTTCAACTATGTTCTTACTGTTGAAGAGTATGTTTTGGCTCTTTCTGAGGGAAAGATGCCAGAAAATTGTGAAAGAGCCTGGAAAAGTGCGCGAAACTATGCAAATGATTTCTTTTTTCATTCATGCGTTCTTATATTTCATTTTTCATTCATGCCTTGTCGTGAAAGAACACGTGTGAAAGAGCAGAATCATACAGTGCTGATTTAAATTAACCGGACAAAACGCGTTAAACTCGAAATTTAAAACGCGTTTTTCTCAAATTGGGTTGAGTTTAGGTGAAAACTTATGAAGACAAAACTTGCTTAAAATTTAAGCAGAATTAATATGGTGTAATTTGTTTTGCGAAATTCGGGTCCAAAATTTAACCCCAAAAATGGGTCATTTTGGCTTTTCTTAGTTAATCAAAAATTGCGCCAAAAATAACGAGTCGATCACAGACATAATTATATCAAAGTGAGCCCCTTACGTAGCCCAACGAACTTTAAGAAGGGCATATTCTCCAAAAAAAATTGCAAACCGTTTAAAAATTGTTTTTAAATCAAAAGTGGGTTTTTTTATATATTAAAAAAGACCTTTTTTGTCTATCAAACAAAAATAAATTAGTTTACACAATGTTTTGGAGAATATACCTTTCTTAAAGTTTGTTGGGCTACGTAAGGGGTTCACTTTGATATAATTATGTCTGTGATCGACTCGTTATTTTTGGCGCAATTTTTGATTAACTAAGAAAAGCCAAAATGACCCATTTTTGGGGTAAAACTTTGGACCCGAATTTCGCAAAACAAATTACACCATATTAATTCTGCTTAAATTTTAAGCAAGTTTTGTCTTCATAAGTTTTCACCTAAACTCAACCCAATTTGAGAAAAACGCGTTTCAAATTTCGAGTTTAACGAGTTTTGTCCGGTTAATTTAAATCAGCACTGTACTCTTCTTAAGTTCAGTTTATTTCCTTTGTTTAAAGGAAGGCCAATACCACCATCGAACAGCGAAAGTGTAGAGGTCACGAAAAACGTGATCGGCTTCTAGTTTCGAAACAGGAGTTTACTTTTCAGATTTCCGCAGCGGAATAGAAAATGTACCTATTGATCCAGTTTTCTCAAAATGGGCTAATTTAATCAAAATTGTCGATCATAAATTGGTTTAGAAATTCGAAGGGCCTTAATGACGCCTATTTTTTTGAATTCGATTTTTTTTTTTTCGAAAAACAAGTCAGTATTTTTTTTGTTTACTTGCGTTCATTGCCTCTTTTCCAACTGTCTGTTGGCCATGTTTTTGTTTTTGCGACTTATGAGCATCCAATACATTTGGATCTATTAGTTGCAGGTTTTTATAGTTGCTTTCCTGAAGTGAAGATGGTATATTCGTAATTTTTGTTTGCTTAAAAATATCTTTTGAAAAGACCTGGTATAGTATGTATGATGGAGGTCGTTTTGTGAAAATGCTAAATATCTCTTTTGCTCTGCAGGTATGGAGTTCAAACTGGAGGAGACGGAACTAGACCTGACGTTAACAGAGAGGTTCCACGGTCACAAGTTCCCAGATGCGTACGAGAGGCTTCTGTGGGATGTTTACTGCGGCAACCAGTCCAGCTTTGTCAGAAGGTGCGCCTCATAAGTCTTTTTTGTTGAGCAGTTTCAAGTCGAATTTATCACGTAATTTATCATCATTGCTGGTCTAGCTTATATTAAATGTTTTTCTTTTAAATTAACTTCCCAAGAAAACTTAGTGCAACAAATTTTGTTTCTGTAAAATTGCTCTTCGTCTTCTGGGCCTTCAGGAACATTCGAATTATTTTGCTAATTTTTGCATCTGCCCAACCCTAAATCCGCTCCTGAACAGTTACATTAGTCTCTTTTTTTGTTGAAAACGACGTATTTGGCGATTGGTTGCAATTAGTCGAAAAAGGTAAAATTTGAAACATATTTTTTCCTCGAGATGAAAAGCTTTTGGAAATCACGACTGCAAGGGGATCAAATTTGTTAATATAACACTCGACGCGTTATATCTTTAATTTGTGTTACCTGATTTTGGGTGGATGAATCACCCGAATCTTTCCCTGCTGCTGATGATCGGAAAAAAATGTGTTTTAGTGACGAGCTTAGGGAGGCGTGGAGGATTTTCACACCACTGCTGAATGAAATTGATACTGCAAAGCACAAACCAGTAGACTACATATTCGGAAGGTGAAAAGAACTGCATCTGGTTTTTTAGAAAAATAAAATTGTGATTAGAAGTTACTTCAAACACAATGATGTCATCAATAGTTACCCCCAGAAAGTTTAGTTTTATCATTTTTAATGTGTTGTCTTCTCACATCATGTCGCCTTATCCTTATTAAGTGTCAATGAACGAAGTGAAGTCACTTTTTAGGTCGTGTTATTTAAAAAATCCCAAGCTTGAAATTTGTTTTTTTTTCAGTTTGACTTTTGATGTCTTTACAAGTTCATTTCAAATTAATTTGCTAAATGGAAGGTAAATTGCGCTCCCCTCTTACGTAAGTGTTAAAAAAACATGGAAAACTTCTAGCTTAAAAAATGGATTTTAATTGTTAGGTTTTGCGGCGGAATAAAAAGTTTAGTTAGTGGTCCAGTTCTCTCTAATTAGGTTAGTTTTATGTAAATTTTGTCGCTAAAGATTCGTGAATTTAAAGAGCTTTGATGCCCTTTGTATTTTTTCCTACGGAAATCTTTCGAAAGTTGTGAGTATCTTCTCAGTTTTTTGAGTTCATTAACATTTCTCCAACTGTTTGTTGGCTTAAGAACAATCAATGGTTGATCTATGGTTAGCTTATGGTTAAATACTGTTAACCATAAGAGTATTTAACCAAAAGTGACATTTGTTAACTTCTGAAATTTAACCGAATCTATCTATCTATCTATCTATATCTATCTATACTATATTTAAATGCTAGTGACAGCTATCTCCCATGTTTAAGCTTAAAAGTTTTGCATGTTTAACGAAAGATTTTTTTCATGTTTAATCTATATCGTATATTGCAATGCTTAAGAAAATTTTTCAATTCGTGTTCCGCTTGGTCATTAATTTTTCAGTAATTTTTTTTCGAGGCCAAATTCTGAATACCTGCTTTTCGAGGTCTGTCTGAATACCTGCTGTTTCAATTAATATGATTAAGTCTGTCTACCCGTCTCCTAATTTTTAATTTGGTTTTGACGATTTAGTTCAAAATAGTACTACTGTCAAACGGTTGCCTCCAATCTCTCTGGATTTTCTATCTTTTTTTCCACCTTCTTTTTTCTATCTTTTTTTTGGCATATTTTTCTATCTTTCTTTTCATCATTTTTTCAAAATTGTTTCTATTTTTCCTTGCCTTATTGTTGGGTGCTGTCAGGGTACTCTCATGATTTGTGAATCTCGCCATTTGACTGATCATTTCCTTGTAGTTTTTGACTTTTTTTGTGATTTTTCAAAAAGTTTTCAGAAAAGTTAACGAATTTTTTTCTTTAAATCTTGAAATTCCCAACCATGTAGTTGGGGGCTATCAGGTTACTATCAGTTATTGCGAACCTCGCCTCCAATTTTAACTGCTCAAATCCTTATAGTTTTCGAGATAGGACTTATTTGCATTTTTTTTTTTAATTTCAAAAAACTTAAATTAATACTTTTCTTCAAAGTTTGAAATTCCCAACCCTGTGGTTGGGTGCTGTCAGGGTAACCTCAGGAGTTGCAATTCTTGCCTCCAAATATGACTGCTCAAATCATGGTAGTTTTCGAGATATGACATTTTTTTGTGATTTTTTCGAAAAATTTTCAGTGAAACCAAACAATTTTTTTTTCTTCAAAATTTGAAATTCCCAACCCTGTAGTTGGGAGCTGTCAGAGTACTCTCAGGATTTGCGAATCTTGCCTCCAAATATGACTACTCAATTCTTTGTAGTTTTTGAGATTCGACTTTTTTTTGATTTTTTCAAAAAGTTTTCAAAAAAACCCATAAAATTTTTTTTTTTAATTTTAATTTCCGAACCCTGTAGTGGGAGCTGTCAGAGTACTCATAGGGGTTTCGAATCTTGCCTCCAAACATGACTGCTCCGATTTCCAAATCCTGGTAGTTTTTGAGATATGAGGATTTCTTTTCTATGATTTTTCAATTAACCTAGGGAGTTGAAAATTTCCCAGGAGTTGAAAATCTTGCCTCCAAATATGACTACTCAAAATTTTTCGAGATGACGGAAAATAGGAATTAAAAAATTAATAAAATATCAAATTACCAGCCATGTAATGGGGTGCTGTCAGAGTACACTAAAAGCCTGCAGATGTGGTTTCCAATGTGTGCAGTTTTTCATGAAATGTCAAAAATTCGAAGCACCGTCAAAAAATTAGCTACTATAAATACAGCTATATCGAAGGTTATGTTTTAGCCGGGGACCGCTTGAATCTGATGAGCTGGAGAGAAAATATGACATGAAGTTCAGTGGGACCTACACGTACAAACCGTCCCAGCTTTCCAAATCGCAGCTCTGACTTGAAACTCCTCAATTGAAACTTTGAGTTATCAATCAGATATTACTTATTGAGTTTGTCTCGGTTGTTTGAAACATCGGCTATTTTACAATTCCATTGAAAAGTCGTGTCGTATTTTTTTTTTGAATTTTGATTGCCAAAAAGATGTTAATAAAGAGTGACAGGAACTAGATAGTGTTATAAAATTGGTCGAGTTGGTTCCTCTGGATGAAATTTAGTTTGTTTGCCTGTAAAGATAATTCGTAAACTTATATTTCTATTGGCCGTCCTTGAATTTAATAATTTTCCTAAAATAAATCAAGTTGATTCCTTCGATTAGTTGTTTATATGAAATAAAATTGTTTGAAAATGCAATTTTTTTTCAAAAAGAATATTTGTTCTTTAATACGACGCCGAATACTTAAGAACACCCTTGCGAAGAACAAAAACTGTATACACACGCGGAGCGTAGGGCCAAATTACAGTATCCCTCTGTTTTTTCCAACATAAGTCGGCAATAATAGTGCTCGTTTATTTGGTGGCACTTTTGCAACGATAACCTTATATCTGGTTTTACTTCTAGATGTCGCAATTATGAGGATGTATGAATCTTGATCTCCAGCTCAGGGTTTGAATTCTGGCATGTGTTAGTTTCATCTTTTCTCTCGGCCTTTTCCATTCCTTTACTCTAGCGATCGTAGTGTATTAGCACGCACCTTCTTTTTTCTAACCTAACTCGCAAATAAAAGTGCTAATTTAGTGGCATTTGCCATAATCACGATCTGTAAAATTGGAAACTTCAAAGCATCTGTGCTCTATTCGTGGCTAGTGTTTATGAACAGTCAGGTGTCCGTGGGTGTAGGGCGACCATTCGTTACAGGCAACAATTCGTCACAGACGACAAGTCGCCACAAGGCATTGGCAAGTAGAATACGCTTGATCCACAGCGCTTATATCCGGCACGAGGGGAATATTGCGCGTGAATCAGTGTTCCCCGCTTAATCTGTTAGGAATGGTCTCTTGTTACGATTTGTCTCCTCACGGTCTTTGGCTTAGGGGTAGTGCGTGTGACCCAAAATACCTTGGTCGCAGGATCAAATCAGATACGTAGCCGATTTTTGACTAATTCGAGGCTTATTTCTATTTTTTCTTATTTCATTTTAAAGTGCTGCCTTTAAAATCGTGGTCTCGATAACCGCAGCTTTGTCTCTTTGTTCAAAGTTTCTAGTTTTGTAATTATTTTACAGAATGCTCGATATTATGTTGTAATTTATGAAGAGCAAATATGTTGAGAACAGTAGTTAGTTCACCATGCAATTTTTCATAGCAATATGACAACGTTAAAATTCTTTTTCAAACCTGAATCTGACAACGTTGAAATTTTTTTTCAAACATCAAATATGCATGAAAGTGAAAAACAGCTCTTTCTTTCTCTTGTTGACGTTTTAGAGCTTAATTTTGTCGTTCATTTTTGTTTGTTTGCGAAGTTGCAGCTTAGCCTGTGTTAGAATGTAGAGAAGGGCATAGAAAAAGACTATTTTGAAACGCTGAAGCTTTATCAAAGTACAGTGTTGATTTAAATTAAACTGACGAAACGAACAAAATGGGAAATTCAAATGTGTTTTTTCTCTAGACGCATAGGTTGAAATAAGTCAAAAAGTAACGAGAACAAAAGTTTCGCCAAGAATCATAAAGTGTTATTTGTTTTTCGAAAATCGCAAACAAAATTTAAATTCAAGAATGGGTTTTGCTCCTTGAGTTCATACAAAAACTGCGCTGAAATACGGGGTCAACCGACTAACCGTTTACACCAAAAGCGTTTTAATTTTGTTGAGGGAAGTTTTGGAGATATAACTTGTTGGGTTACACGAGAGATTTGTTTTGCTATAATTTGCCCAGCGATTTAGCATGCAGCTGAAGCGCAATTCTTGATTAAACAAGGAACAACAAATGACAAGTTTCTGGATTAAACTTTGGCTCCGAATTTTGGAAAATAATTTGCATCATGTTATTTTTACCAAGTTCTAAGCAATTTTTGTTTTCATCACCTTCTCTGATGTCAATTCACTCCCAGAAAAAAAGGTTAAAATTTTCAATTCAGTTCAATTTTTGCAGAGAATAAAAAACGAGCTTCCTTCGAGATAGTCAAAGTTGACTGAAAAAAAAAACACGAATCTTGATCCATAGTTCTGTTCCACTCTTCCAGAGTCGAAACTAAAACAACTTTTTTGCGCTGGTGATAAATCTATCTTCTAACTTTCCATTTCCAAAAACCTTCAAATATTAAGGTTTCAAATTGAAAAATTTAGGCAGTCCTAACATTTTTGAATTGGATTGATGATAAAAAATCTGCAAAACTTGTAAATCTGCAATCAGAAAAAAATGAAAATCTGTATATTTCAAAAAAGTGAAAAATTACTAATTTTAATTTTCGATCGCAATTTTTTTTTCCAAAATTTTTGTCAGCTAGACTTATTTTTCGTAAAACTTAAAGAATGTGTATATATTTTTTATGATCTGTTTTGCTACAAAATGTATAGGACTGATTTTTTTATTCTTAAGTGAGAATTTTAATTTAAAGGTATTCAAATGTGACACAATTATAGAGACTAATTGATTTTCATCATCATTGAAATGTCCATAAAATTTGCAAAATTTTTCTCAAAAATAATATGCAGTTGAAATAAAACCGAACCACCTTGAAAACTCTGGGTGTTCCAGTTTTTAATTTTTTTTTCTATAGCAGGTGAATGTAGTTGGACATTAATGGTAGTTTTATTTCAAAAGAGCGGAACAAAATTGAACAATTGACAGATACAAGATTTGATGGAAAAATCTACAGCGACAATTTTTTTGCTCTTCTGAAATCACACGACACTACAGTTACCAAAAAGGCTAACTTTTGCCCTTCTAAATCTCAAAATCGCTTTTTCTGGCAATGCCTATATACAACTTGACATCTGGAAACCTTTTGTTAAATGATACGCTTGCTTAATATTTTTCTGCTGTTATACTTTTTTTACGCTCGCGCTAAGCAAACGTTACCGAAAAGGAGTGTAAATTTTTTTTGGCTAGCAAATTGTTTAATACAATCACTGAATAGTTTGATCTGCTATGATTTCCTCTGCTATCATTCGGGCTGCTGACATGATTTATATCTGAAAGTTTAACTTACTGGCTGATAAGACTAGTAACTAATGATTAAAACTATATCCAGGATTTTACCGTTTCGTGTTAAATAATTGAAGCTCGCAGGAGTTCACACTTGGCATTCTCCGCAAATGGGTTCTTGTTGTCTCTCACAGGGTGCACGAAATGATCTCCCTTCTTGTTATGCTCCATGATTTCGATCAAACTAAAAACCCAATGCTGATTTAACAGCTTCATCGTGAAGCGACAATTCGTAACATGCGACAATTCGCAACAGGTGACAATTCGTAGCAATAATTGAAGCGGCAAACACTAATTTATGCGACCTTTCTCTGTGCCGGGTGTAAGCGCAGCGGAGCCTAATACGAATCGATGCCCTACCCAACTTCATATTGCTTCAGTCTCCTTTTTTACTAAGTTACTAAGTTATTTCAAGATTTTTATACACTTTTGGAAACCCAATTCCTGACTCATCAATTTCATATTTCCTTAATCGTCATTTATTACTAGGTTAGTTCATGCTTTTTACTAACTTTGGGACGGACTCAAATGTTTACGCGGAGAACCGCTGTTGTGCCCCTTATTACAATTTAAGAGCTAAGTACTGTCTTTTTTTTGTCCTTTGGGTTGGATAGTGTTGCCTCACCGTAGAACAACCTGCACAAATAATGGTGGGCCTTCAACTCAGGGGCGAATCTAGGATTTACTCGACGCG